ACTGTGGGTTTGATTGCAAAGGTGCTATTTTAAGGTTGCCCATAGCCACGATAGGTAAAAACTTGAATAGAGTAGTTTGCAAATCACTAAAGGGTGTTTTATGCCTCTTAACAGAGAACTCGGACATTTAGGTGATTATTTTTGACAAGTGGTAAAGACAATAATCCACCAAGACGATGCATAAGGAAAGCAAACGTTTCTTTTTGGTAAAGTAAGAGCCTCATTAATAGTCTCAGCTTCTTTTCCCCTTGTCTGTCTTCTTCCCCACACACCATTGTAAAATAACTCCTTCGCCTTGGGGACTAATCTGTTTGTTCTTCAATTTCTAGCCCACTTTGCTTGTTTAAGACACATAATTAATCTTCTGGCTCGCTTACACTTCTTAACCGAGTTGCTGCGTTTGTGACACTCATTAATCTTGATAGTGTTGAACAATTTTTTATCGCACAAATCAATTCTACTAGAGTGTCCAAGGGCACACGCCTTATGCAAAGGGGGACTACTCTAAGGAGGTCCACTACAGCCCCTTCCAGTGCCAACACAACCACCATCAGTACCAGCACCAACGGCAGGAGCAACGCCAGTATCTCCAAAATTATTACCAGCAGCAGGATCAGCATAATCGTCTAAGACTAAGGCAACAGTTTCATGAATACGAGATGGGAGATGAGGAGGCAGTGGAGCGACTACGAGCCGAACTGAAGACAAAGCGCACACCACATTGGGGCGCATCGGTGTCGCCACAATCGCTGTCGCGACGTGAGAAGACACCAGGACCACCTCAAACTACCTTCGTCACCAGTCTGCGTAACCCTCCTGACCAAAGCCTTGGATCCAGACAGAGCTGTCCACCTTGCACCCATCCTGTGTGTTGCAGCGCTTTTCAAACGGAAAATGGCAAACTAGCATGACAGAAAGTTTGTTGTTAGGCTAATGGATGGATGGGGAGGGTGTTGGCGTGACTAGGACGCCAAGAGTACATAGTGGTAAGCGAAGACTTCGTGTAGGAGCAATACTTATTGTTTGAATAATCGACTTGCACCACAATCGGTGCGTAACCACTCGGTGCTTAATTCAAACATCTCCAGTCTGCAATTTTATTGGTCTTCCGTTCCTTTCTAGGTCCGATATTACCTGTGTCAACACACGACCAGTCCATTGGTCGACACTTCTAAAAGAAAGTTTTAATCCACTGAACTGCATGTTGTTAAGTAGTGACTCGGCCTTCGATCATGGTCGGAGAGGGATAGAAACAAATCCCTTTACAAATCCATCCATAGTACTTTGACCTGTTGATAATAAGTAACAAGAGACGTGTGGTTGGGACTAAAATCTGTTTCTACTTCAGAGATCGGCCTATCAGGGGTATGAAGAGAGACACACGAGGACGAGGAATTACCGTGCTGGTAACAGGCCCGCTGTCTGTTAATATGGGATACAACCCACGGCGTGTAAGACGGAAACTGATGTTGACATTTTGAGCTCTGGCCTTACACTATCAAGCCCCAGCCGTTGCTCTGCAGACTCGCACCTCCAGCGGCCTTTACTGTACTGTGGATACGTGTATTTATTTATTCACTTATTTGTCAGTTTGCTGAAATAAGGAACCAACTACATCTTCATGCTTTTATTCATCCATTTTATGCACACTTTTATTGAGTTAGACCAATGAGACTGTGGTGGACAAGATTGAAGACTCACCGTATTTGTTATGCACTGCCTTAACACTACTCTACAGATGGGAGAGGGCATGGCACCTGATTAAGTTACATATTTGCTTGAACAAAGGAGGGAGGATTAAGGACCCTTGACGTTGTCCCAGGATCAGCTCACCTGACCGAGGCAGTATGACCACCTAAGTGACTTTGACCAAAACCAGTTAGCCATGCCAACAAATTATTGCATATATTTTTTGTAAGATTTAAGTGAAATGGGACACATCTGTTTGTCAGAATGGTCGAGCTAGGCTAAACTTGAATTAGTTGAATTGTCGCTGTTAATGCTGAATCACTAACTGTTACTTAACCAAACTACTGGCAACTTTGTTCTCCAGTTTGGTGCAACCAATTGGCTGCAAGAAAATTGTATACATTTACACACTAAAGCATCACTAGCTTTAAGGCACTTATGAACCCCACTGCATTCCAGCAGTGCATTCAATGTGGCACGATTTACCAAAGTGAAGCCTAAGATAGAGAAGATTACAAAGCACAATCGAAATTCGAATAAAGTCAAAATGATCTTAGTCAAAGGTTATGGCTCAACATAGTGGAAGGGACGTTCCAGCATATTGAACAGTGCATTTAGTATGGTAATTGATGTGGGCACAAGATGGTATGCCTCTCTCATAAATGCACTGTTCTTTGGAGGTTTTGACCAGCGGTGGTATGAAAAATGAGTCGTACTTTAAACTGGGAAGATAGTGACTTCCTTATTTGGCTTGTGATCAGATCGCGGTGAAGCCAATGGCCAGATAGTCTTGAGCTAGCGGGCTGACTTTTAGATCGAGCCGACGGACTCGATCCACCT